AGTACTGAAAAACAACAACAACAAAATAATGACAATACATGTATGGCACTGCACCACTACAGCTGAACCCCAGCTCATGCCTTACTCCCTCGAGCACTATGCACTACTCTGCAGATACTTGGGAGATGAGGCACTCACTCTCCCGTGCCTTCCCAAGTGTCCATCCTTGTCTGTGAGCCTCCCTCTCCTTCACCATCAACTGTCACCTGGGAAGTCAACAAATTCTCAACTCTCTGGCTTCCTCCTCACAAAGACTCCTTGCTCTTGAGGCTTCAAGAAACAGCAGGGCAAGGTAGAAACTTAACCATGACATAACGGTCACACGTGCCTTTTCAAACAGGCCTTACCTCATATCTGGGTGTGGGCTGGGGGAGAGAGGAACTGCAAAGGGGAAAGGTCCGGGGGGGGGTGTCCCTAAGTTAAGTGGGGAGGAAGATAGGCTGCGATGTGCACACGTGATTTCTCTTTGTTAATCACTGCCCTACCTTAAAAGTGGGTGCTAAACAGAAGAGAGGGACTCCTTCCTCTGGATGCCCACGCCACCCTAAGCACAGCTCTCTCAGGCGCGCCTAGCACAAGGTACACCAGAGTGAGAACTGGTCTCTTGGTGCCCATCAGACTCCCGAACAAGGCAGGAACTGCCTCTGGACAGTTCCCCACTGTGCCGCAAAATCCTCCCACAGCGCTTGGCGCAGAGCAATTGCTCAAAGACTTGGGATGACAGCACATCCTTCCTCTCCTGAGTAGAATAGGACGGGGTTAAGAGTTTCCTAGCGCAGCACCGGCGGAGACCGATCACAGAGGCTAGCACGGGGAGCCAAGGCCTCCCGTCCTCTCCGCACTGCAATCCTGCCCCTTCCACTCCCACCAACTGGGAGCACACTGGCAGAGGTAGGGGAGCAGATGCCATTCTCCTTGGACGCAGCTTGCGCGGGACTGTGGGGCTCACCCCATCAACAGAGCCAGGCCCACAACCTCCCGCCGGAAGCTGGAGGCCGCGGGCCGGAAGCTGCGACCGGGCCAAGGCCGACCAGATCCGCAGCCGCAGGGAGATCCGCGAGGGGCCCTGGAAAACAGCTGCCCCTCAGGGGACCTCCACGATCTGGCTGATGCGACCGAAGATACGCTTCCACCAGCTGAGAGCCGCCCGTGGCCGATGAGGGTCACTTACAAGAGCTATGGTTGCCGTCGCCATCTTGCGTCCGTCGCGGCCGCTGCGCGCGCCACTCACTCCAGCGTCCTCCCCAGTCTCGTGCGATCTGGCAGCCAACCGAGCAACTCTCGCGATAAAATACCTGTCCCTAGATACGCGATAGGCGAGGAATGCGCTTCCGGGGCGGGGAAAATTAGAGTCCCGGATAGGGTGGGGCCTGGTGGACCGGGACTGGAGGGCGAGGGCGGAGCAACCCCGGGAGATTGGTAACCCGACCCCTGAGGATCTGTACCTGCAAGGCCGCCGGCATCTTTCTGCCCGAACACTTGCGTCACCTCCCGTTGGGGCCAGTGCTCTATTTCTCTGTCTACCTTACAGACAGACACAGCAGGCGTGTTCGCTCGCTGTTACCAAGGAGACGAGAAAAGCGGCCCTCTCAGGCTAAGGGAATCTGGGTAGACAGTTGAGACAGGTGACAAAAGGACCACATCTCAGGCCGCACCTCAGATTTTGAGATGCATTGTCTTTGCGTTGTAACTATTCATAAAAACTGAAGTGCCTCAGTACAAATGCTTTTTAGGTCGGATGGCACATAGTTGGTGGACATGCAGCCTGTCTGAGACAGCCCTTGGGGCGGTCATACTGTGGGAACGCTATGCAGGGAGTCCCCCTTGGGTCCCAAGCTATATTTAAAGGCTCAGGATGTCCATCTGTGTTGGGCAAAGAGCGCCCCGAACTTGCCGTGGGCTGTACCCAATCCCTGGAAGAAACCACCTCTGTATCTTCATTTGCTTGATTTTTATCTTTTGCGGCGGGGGCGGGGATCCAACTCGGGCCCTTGCTCTTGCCAGGCAGGTGGCAGAACCACTGAGCCAAACCCCCGGCTCCTTCATTTACTTGAGGTAATGAAGTATCTTCCCTGGCTAGGCAAGTCTCTTTTCAACCGTGGGAAAGTTTAGAAATGGAATATGGAAGCCGGGTGTGGTGGCTCATGCCTGTAATCCCAGCACTCAGGAGGCTGAGGCAGGAGGATCACTGTGAGTTTGAGACCAGCCTGGGCTACACAGTGAGTTCCAGGTCAGTCTCAACTACATAGTAGACCCTGTCTCAAGCCCCCCACCAAAAAGAAAAAAATAAATTGAATATAGACATGTCTAATAAAATATGCCAGAATATTTTCCTTTCCTCCCCCCAGAAACCCCTCTGAAAAAGGCAAAACCTATGAAGTCAGGCAGGTGGATTGTCTTGGAGTTGTGGAGTCAGACAGCAGATCTGCTGCAGTCCACTCGGCTGTGGAGGTTAGTGTCTGAAAGATCTTGTGAAGGTACACCTGGAAAACAGGACACCGCAGACCTCTGTCCCTGTCCCTGGGTCTGGGATGTGAGCTCCAGGAGAGGAGTACTGAGGCCTTGCCCTGTTTCAAAATTGGGGCAGTAAGCAAAAGTCCTGCCCCTTTTTCTACCTCTACCAATCCTGTTCGCAGAGCCTGCTCCTATATGTTCCACACAGGCTGTTCTGAGAGGTTTCCTCCCTCCAACAACTCCCTGCTCTAAAGACTGGCAGCAGGGGTGCCCAGTAAAATCATCCAGCTAGACCCCAGACTCCCAAAGCACCAAGTGATAAGCCCTAGCCACAAAGAGCAGCTCACTCTTTAACACAACTGGACAGCTCAGGATCACCAGGTAAAAGAGGATAAGGAAACAAGTCTCAAAAGGAACTGTGGTGGGTCAGGGATTTAGCTCAGTGGTTCCGCTGCCTGCTTTGCAAGTGCAAGGACCAGACTTTGATCCCCGGTACAAAAAAAAAAAAAAAAAAAAAAAAAAAAAAAAAAGGAAACAGGTGGGCTGGGGGGGGGTTAGCTCAGTGGCACCCACACCTACCTTGCAAGCACAAAGTCCTGAGTTCAACCCCTAGTACCAAAAAAAGGAAGCAAAGGAAGAAAAAAAGAGCTAAAATACTATCCTCAGAGATGTTCAAATTTTGCATCCCCAAAACAAAAACTGAGAGCTATAGAGAAAGAACAAATGAGTCCTTCCAAAAAGAAAATTTGAGGAAAAGGAACAATTCAATAGGTTTGAAAAGCAAAGTTGGAATCTTCAGAATGCATAACAATAAAACCATAGAGGTAGAAGCCAGAAACTGTTATAATCACAGTGGTTAGTACTCTCCAGTGCTTAGAAACCACATGGCCCACCAGAGCTTCCACAGTGGAGGGGGTGGATGAGCTAGGACTCACCACCACCAGAGGGGTGCCTCTAGGTAGCACTTCTCAAGTAGACAGTGATATGTAACATTACACTTAGGTACTTGGAGCTTGGCACTGTTCTTATCGCACCAGAGTTCAGAGTTCTAGCCCTCCTTATAACAACACTCTGCAGAGGCACTACCCTCAGTACTCCCAATAAGGAGGTGCAGGGTCAACTAAGGCCATACCTCAGGGAGCACAGGTCAGTTCCAGAGCCTGGGCCCGTAACCACACACATCACTTAAAAGCCAAGTCCTGCATTTCAAATCCAGAAAAAGGAAAGAAATCAACAAAGAAATAACTGAAGAAAATTTGTTTCTGGATATTAGATGAAAGAGTCACTGAGAATTTATAAAGCATTGGAGCAAAGAAAAGATTGAGAAAGAATCAGAAAGAGCTCATAGGTAAAGGATTTAGAGGCATGAATGTTTTGGGAAGTACAAGAAAATGGTGTGACACCTTCATAATCCTAGGGGAGAAATGATTTTCAAAGGAATTGATATCTCGCTCCCTCCGTCTCTCTCTGTGTACTGACAAACCCAGGGCTGTTGCACTGAGCTACAACCATAGCCCCTTATTTTTTATTTTGAGACACTTTCACTAAGTTGCTCAAGTGGAACTCAAAATCCTCCTGCCTCAGTCTCCCAAAGTGATGAGGTTACGGGCATGGAGTCAAGTTTCTCATACCTAGTTACCCGTTCAAGCATGTGAGATTAGAATAAAGACAGGAAAGCAAACACTTTTAACCTCCCATGCTTCCTCTCTCAAGCTACTTGGAGGATGTTCCTGCTTACATGGGATGAGTGAAAAGAGGAAAGCATGGGATCCAGAGAAAAGATAGGGAGTGTCCTAGGACACTAGCGAAGAGTAACTCAGGCTGACACCTGGGCTACAATACAAAAGCAGGAAGCCTGGGGCATAGAGCTTACATGGTGAGGGTTATAGGAAAAGAAGAAATTGGTAAATTATGCCCTCACTCCTCTAACTATTAAGAGGAAGTCCACATTTCTGCAGGGGAATCCAAAGATCCAAAGATGAATTAATGGCAGACACATATAGAAAATTTAAAAAAAAGACAATTATTAACTCCATGGAAAATAAAACATTGAGCAGAAAATAAAATATAACCTAGGATATCTTGTTCTCTGCTGAGATCCATGGTAATGAAGCTGAATCATATCCAGGCAGCTATGCCACCCATCACACTAGTACAATGCTGGATCAGAGGGGAGGCAGAGGATTTCTTCTCCCTTTAAACAGTGATAGTGAACCTTTTAGAGCTTTCAATGATAGCAAACAGCCCGCTGTGGCATGCATGCCATAGGTTTACCACCACTGCCATAGAGGATGCCACCTTGGGCACCTAATATAGAATAATCAATAAACAGGACCAAACACATGCTTGTAGTTTTGAAAAACATGGATTCTAAATGCCTGAAAAACACCTAAGAGAGCTGAATCCCAGGTGGATTAGGGTAGGAGACTGCATTACTAATTTGTTATTGCTCCCCGCCGAAACCATTCCCTTTTTAAAACAATACACATATAATTGTGAAAAGATAAGAACTCAGCATAGGCATGATTACATGTAGACTGTAGTACTGATGCTTTTAAGTTCAGTTTAATCACTGGTACAATCTGTTATGTGTTTGCCACTCAACATGACCATGCACAATCAGACAGCTTAACAGTAGGATTCCCTCCTAGACTGTGTAAGTTATTTGAAATCTGCATTTTAAGTTGAAAGGTATGAAATTTTTAAAAATGTTGTAAATAGTATTGGATGTTTAAGATAACTTGTGATTCACTATAATTGTTCATTTAATTTGATATGCCTTGGCAGTTTTGTTTTGGTTTTTTGGCTTTTGGTTAGGATGGTATTCTAGGCAAAATCTCACCACCCTCATGATGCCCATTCTCTAACCACAGGAGCCAGTGAGTGTTAGCTTACATGGCAGAAAGTACTTTGTAGTAGTGCTTAATCTTATAGACTTTAAGGTGATTATCCTAGGTTTTCAAGGTGGACCCACCCTAATCATAGCAGTCCTTATGTAGAACTTTTCTGGCAGCAGATAACCAGCTGACTTAAGACAAAGATTTGGCCTGCTGCCGCAGGCCTTGAAGGCAGAGAGAGAGCCAAGGAATGTGAACAGCCTCAAGAAGCTGAGAATGGTCTTCAGTTGACAGCCAGTAAGAAAATGGGGATCTTAGCCCTAGCATTGCGAGGCAGTGAATAAATCTGCCAATAGTCCAAATTAATCGAAAGTGGACTCTCCCCTAAGTCCCCTAGAAAGAAATGAAGCCTGCCAACCCCTTAATTTTAGTCCCATATCAGACTTTTGACCTATTCTGACAAATTTATAATAAATTTATATTTTGAGCCACCAATTTTGTGATAAATTTTACAGTGGCAATGTACTAGAACTAATAACAGTAGAGACCTTTCCTGTTTTGACATTTGGAATGTTTAATAAGAAACCTGATGTATTAAATTTATATAAACAACTTAAAATGTTTAAGACTGTTAAACAGCCCAGGAACTAAGAGATCAGAGCAAGGGATTATGTGTGTGTGTGTGCACGTGTGTGTACATGTGTGTGCAGAATTCACCAGGGTATTGAAATGTCTAAGGTGGAAACAGTAGTTGAGCGGGAAAGAGATAGGGAGCCAGGAATGCACATTCTCAGGGCTCCAGAGGAGCTGTCTCAGGATGGGGCTGTGGTAGATTCCTGACCTCTGACCCCTCCAGGTCAGGGAAAATAAGAGACAAACAGCCTCTTGGAGGGGTTATGGGGGTGGGGGGCACAGGTCCTGGTCTCAGAACGAGTGGAAGGCCAGAAGGGTGCTCCAGGGTGGTTCTGCATGGGACCAGAGGTTTTGTGGACCATGGCCTCAACTCCAGGCCCTCTACCTTCTGTTTCTTCAGCTGGTTCCGGCCCTCTCTGGTGCCTAATGCTGTGTCTGACACCTGTAGGGCTCCATCTGGTTTGAGGTCCAGGCTCCTAGCCTGACTGTGGCACCAACCAGGTATGGCTGCTCTCCCTGACCACATGAAACCATTCCCTTGGCAGAGATTTGTTCAGGGCTAACCCCCATCCCCCACCCCACCCAGGCTCCCTTGGCCCCTCACTGGCCCCACTAGCATGCCAGGGCCCCACACTGCTGGGGAAGGTTGGGGGTCCTCACTGACAGGCTGGTGTTCATCGGCTCTCAGGCATGCTGGTGAGGACAGCTCCAGCAGTGCTGGACTCTTCCCCACGTCGCTCACCCTGAGCCGGCAGCACCTGGGCCGGGCCTCCAGGGTTGGTCAGGTCAGGACTGGGTCCTTCGGTACTTGAGGAAGGTAGTTTCCAAGAAGGCAGCCAGCTTCATGCGGTCATCCTGCAGAGGAAGGAAGCATGGAGGGCTGAAGCAGTGTGATATATCTATCCTGAACCCCACCCCATAACTAGGCGGCTATGCCTACCTCATGCAGAAAGCCGTAGTGCACAAGTTCAGCTGCAAGGTCCTGGGCACTATCGGCTATAGCAGGACAAGGGGCAAACTGTGAGGCTGCCATATTCTGGCACCTGCCCCCCACCCCCCAGGGCCTCCCTCTGCCTACTTGGTAGCAGGTCATAGGTCAGCTGCCGGTGCAGCCGGTCCTCCAGCACCAGAAGCAGTGTGAGCTGGGGGTGGGAAGGCATGGTCGGGCACAGCCATACTTGGCATACCCTGCCTGCCCGCCCAGCCCAGTCCAGGACCCTGCTCACATGCCAGCGCGCCTTGTCTTCACCCCTCTCCAGGTTGCACTGCATCTGGACTACCTGTGGGTGGGGAGGCTAGGTTACCCACAAGCAACTTGGCAGAGGGGCCAGAAACTTGGCAGAGGGGCCCAGAAAAGACCACAGAGATTAGAAATTAGATTTAGCTTAGTGGTTCCACTGCCTGCTTTGCAAGCACAAGGACCAGAGTTCCATCCCCAGTACACACCCCCCAAAAAAAAGAAAAGAAAAAAAAGAAATTAAAAAAATTTTCCAGGGCTAGCCCAGAAGGTACATCTTACTACTAGCTGCCTGGTGCATTAAGGAGAATTTCCATGAGTAGGCACTGGGGCTGGGTACTGAAGGATGAATAGGAGACATCACAAGTGAAAAGAATGCATTGAGAAGGAAGTGTGGGAAGTAGAGGGGAAAAGTCAGCAGGGATGTGATAGAGCAGAAGAGGAGGATGCCAGCAGGACCAGTCAAGAGAGTTGGGGGCTTGGGCTGAGGACTCCCATGAGCTTTCTAGGCAGCCAGAAACCAGGTAGGCTGTTAAGACATGAACTTAGATAGCACTGTGGAAGGAAGGAAGCCAGGATAAGTAGGGCCAGGCTGAGGACTGGTGCTCTAGGTAATGGAGTTGGCTCAGATCAGGGTGGTAGCCATGGGCACACCTAAGGCCAACCCTGAGAACTCAATGGGTATTGGCATGAACAGTAGAGGGAGATACAGAGGCTGACCAGGAGGCAGCCTCACGGGAAGAGAGATTTGGGGAAATGTGGTACCTGGGAGGCCTTGGGGAACATCCTAGGGCACAAGGGTCAGCGAATCAGCCAACCAAGTGGGGCATCAGAATGCTCCAGCAGTGAGATATCTAGAGAAAAGCTGTTTGCAGCACAAAGGAATATGGGCAGGCAGCAGGATAGGGAAAGGGCTTGCAGGAGCAAGGAACCTCTGGGAAAATGGGGAATCCTAGCATGTCCTAGAACCTGCTCAGTCCCCCAAAAGCCCCAGCCTGGACCTGGTCTCTGGCAGTCTGGTGAAGAACTGGCCCCGGGAGATGGAGAATGCAGGCCCAGAGAGAAGGGCACCAGTTATCTGGACAGTTTGGGAGACAGCACAGTGCAGCAGGGGTGGGACTTGCCTTTCTGGTCTCTGAGTCAAAGGGTTCTGGCGTTGGAGTCTTGGCCTTCTGAGCCTCTTCAGGGGGTGGGGCCAACACACGGGGAAGCCCCAGGGGCCGAGCAGCAGCAAAATTCATCAGGGGATAGATCCCATTCCTGAGGACACATGGGGTCGGGGTAGCTGGGGGCAGAAGCCTGAGAGCACCCAGTCTCATGCCAGCCAGCTCTCACCTGACATCTTCCAGGAATTTGTCCAGCTCCAAGAAGGAGACCTCTGAGTATCTGACAGAAGGTGAGCAGTACATGAAGGGTGAACAACTGGCCAGGGAACTGAGTGAAGGCTGCAGGGTAGCCACTACTCACCGCCACTGCATTGCAGGCTGGTGGGGCCGAGGGATTTCTGCCAAGACGGCGTGCAAGTCCATTGCCTTGGTCTTTTCCTCCACTACATTCTCAGGCATGAGGTCTGTGGGCCATAGGAGCACTCAGTGGTTCCCAGCCACAGGTCCTGCAGGACCCCTTCCACAAGGCCCCTGACCCATCCAGACCTGCCTGCCCCTTACACTGGTGCTGGATGAAGCAGTGGGCTGCCAATAGCTTCAGTGAGTGCACCTCAAAGAGCACACGGTGGAAGAGGAGGTTGTGGGCAGAAGGCCGGTGAGCAGGGTCCTGGGCCAGACAGGAAAGGATGAACTCCTGGGTATGTGAAGAGGAGAGCCAGTGGTGGACAGAGGCTCCCTGCTGTAGCCCCACAGTGTGAAGACAGGCCCCCTGAAGTCCTTAGACCCAGGTGTCTACCCTCATGTGCCCCTACTCAGGGTTGCTGCAGTGATGCACATAGGGGAAGGTATCCCATTAATAGCCAGGCCAGGACCTGACCTTTCGAACTTGAGGATAATCAGTCTTCAAACTCAGAACACTCAAGCTCTACTTCCCTCAACCTTCAAGGAAACATAGGGAGCGGGTGCTATTACCCTCAATACACAAACAAAAGCCCTCCTAATCACAGTCTGCCCCCAATTTGGAGATGACCTAGATGAGTCCTCATCCTGCTTCCCCCCTGCCTCCTGGGCTTCTCATACGCACCCAAGCCCCATTTTTCCTTTCCCTTAGCCCCAGGGGTTGAACTGTTAAACTGCTGGACTCTGACCAGAGAGACTGTGGATGCAGCTTCTGTCCTATACCTCCTTTGTCGGCCCTGTGCCCATTATGCCCCACCAAGCCCGGGAGCTTAGAGGTAGGGACTTGGGTGAGGCAGACCTGAGTGCAAATGCAGGGTCCACTACTTATTCTAAAGCCTTGGGAAAGTCCTTGGTCTCTCTGAGCCTTATTTTCTTTACAAAGTTGGCATAGTAATAATAACCATATAGAGAATGTCTCTGCTCTTCTTGTCTTTAGACTTCATGAATTATTTCTTGCCTGAGACTCTATATTAGCTCCCAGAGGGATCTTTCTCATCTGTGGGCCTTAGTACGGAGGAATGGAGAAAGCCACTCACCCGCATGTTGGGGTCACTCAGTGAGTGCCTGGCTCGAGCAATGGCCTCTTCTGTGACTCGGGTGTCTCCATTAGCCTGGATCTCCAGCACAGCCATCTGGGGTCAGTGCCAGGTTGGGATCCCAGAAGAGACAGCATAGGTAAGAATGGATAGAGTTCCACCTGGAGAGGGTAGGAGGTGGGGCCAGTACCTCCAGCGCACACATTCCAAAGGAGAAGATGTCCACTGCAGTGCCATCTGCGACCTCTGAAAGTGGGAGAGCAAGGCAGGGTGGGTAGGACAGATGTAGGGCCAGGTCAGTCACCAACAACAGCCCTCCTGGACTCACCGCCATATTCTGGTGGGAAGAAGTGCAGGTTCCGCAGTTCCTGGCGCTCAGTACGGATGGGGCTCCGGAGATCATCTGGGAGCTCTACAGAAGTGCAAAGCCCTAAGCAGCCAGCCTTTCCATGGACCCCACCCCCCAGAGGCCTCACGCACCATTGGAGAAGATGCGGTACCACACTGCACAGGCCACCATGGAAAGAAAGAGTAGGTGTAAGATCCTGGGCTCCCAACAGGTCCCCTGTCTGCCCCACCCAGCCCAGCCCCTTCCAGGAGCACCAGAGCCGATCTTGATGAGGCCATTGTGCTGAATGAAGATGGTGTCACTGGTCAAGTTCCCGTGGATGATGGGGGGGTTGCAGGCGTGCAGAAAGCTGCAGGCGAGTGGGGGAAGGCACGAGGGTCAGAGGTCATGGGAGCAGTGGGTGCTGCTGGGCAAGCACATTACAGCTTGGTCCTCACCTGAGAGCAGAGAGGATCTGCGTGCACCAGCGCTTCCAGGCCTGGCAGCAAAGTAGACACATGGACAAACGATTCCCATTGGGTGGGCACAGGAGAGGCTGGGCCTGCTAAGCCAGTCGTGGCCCACCCCTGGTCCAAGGCAGCCCTGCGCCACCTCCAATACTGTCCTGAGCACCCCCATCTTGGCCCCAGCCTCTCCCCATACCCGGGTGCTCATGGCTTTGTGGTTCTTCTTGGTCTTTTTCAGAAATTGCTTGAGGCTGCCCGATGACACGTACTCTGTGATGAAGATGACCTGCAGGATGGGTGGGCTCGCGGGCTTCGCCGCTGCAGGTGGGTGCCCCCAGCTCCCAGCCAGGCTCGGGGCTCGGGGCTTCCCTTACCCCCCACCCACCCCCGGCTCACCCTCGCTCTGGCCTCTGACGAGTCCAACCAGTACTTGTGCAGCTTGACAATGTTGGGGTGGTCCACCAGCGCCAACTGCTCAAACATAGTTTGGATCCTCTCCTGGAGAAGGGAGGCGGTCACCCAGTGGCCACAGGATTGCACAGGTCGGGAGGGGGCAGCCAGCCTCACCTCATGGGCGGAGAAAGCCTTCCTGTCGCCAAAGTGCAGCTCATTCCACACTACTTCTACCCCCTCCTCCGTGTCCATGGCCAGAAAGGTGCTCTGGATCCCAGGCATATTCCCTTGGTTCACCTGGGAGTGGGGGGAATTTGTGCCTTGCGTCTTAAGTGTGGTGTTGAGGATGAGAACGCGGTCCCACCCAAGCCCTTCCCCTTCAGCTCCAGCTCCTAGGGACAGCTGGGGACATACAGGGGACTGGCACCTGGGAGTCTAGGGGCAGTATCCAGAGGGATTGGAGCAGAGCCGCAGAGAGCTGGCACGGTTCCCGGGGCATGGGAGGTGGTTCTGGAAGGGCACTAGTCCTCGGGGAGTGGAAGTCTAAGGACCAGCCACAACGCGGCCGCTGTAGAGGCCTCGGGCTGCCCCTACACCACAGACACCACTGCTGCGCGGGCCTCCACCCCTCCGCCGCCCACCTGCTCTCGCCGCTTCTGCCAGCGGCCACACGGGCTCTCTTCCAGGATGTCGCTCTCGTCTTCGCTCTCGTCCTCCCTCTCCCGCTCCCGGCCCCGCCTTGGCGCTGGCTCCGGGGCCGCCATAGTTCAGCGGGCCCAGGCTGCGATCTGCC